AGTTCCTTTAAGGATCGTAGACCGAAAGGATCAAGTCCTAAGGAGAAGGACCATACCCTACGTCAAGGTGCAATGGACGAACCATACACCATGAGAGACAACATGAGAGTTAGAAGAGGACATGCGGAATAGGTACCTATATCTTTTTTATCAAGGTACGTAAGTTTCGGGGACGAAACTTTTCATAAGGGGGGTAGAATGTGAAACCCACGACTATTGGCCCAATTTTATAACTTTATCTTTATTATTTTATTTTCTCGACTAATTAAAAAGGATAAAGTTGCTATGAGAAAAAAAAAGAGAAAAGAAAAAGGAAAAATAAAATAAAGTAGCTGTAGGATGGGTTAATGGGTTCTAATACAGTAAAACTTTTACCCAAGCCACCTACTAATAAGTAGTGCTAGGTTTAGGGTTTCATTAAAACCCTAGATAGTAAAATAACCCTAGCCTTACTTTCTTTCGTCTGCCCTAGAGCAAGAGCTGTCAGAGAGGAGAGAAGGAGAAGCAGGCAACAATGTCAATCGATCCGTCAACTAGGCACCTAAACCTGTAAGTCCCAAATTCACGTGAAACCTCTCCTTTAAATTCTAGTAATCGAATTAATTATCCTAAATATTTTATGGATATATATTATTGTTGTATATAGATTGATATATCCGTTTCTATAAGAGATTAGGAGGATTCATATTTGGATTAGTGGAAATAGGGTGTTAGATCTTGATCGTTGGTGAGTAGATGATCCAAATCTGTTGAAGAAAAGAAAAGGAAAAAAAAAAAAAAAAGGAGATGCCGCTGCTCTGTTTTGGCCAAGCACTGCCGCAGGGGAAAGGAATTCCAAGGGTTGGCCTTTTGGCCAACCCAAAACAAACAAAAAAAAAATGATGGTGATGTCGCCGGCAAGTGCTGGCGACAATGGAACAATTTTGGTTGGCCTTTTCGGTCAACCAATTTGCTGATTTGGGTCGCCAGACTCTCTGGCGATCATGGTCAGCCATGGTTGGGCCCCGCCAAGAAAAAATAATAATAATAACAATAATAATAATAAAATAAAATGAAAAATAAAGATAACAATAAACAAAAATAAATAAGTAGAAAGGGAGCAATTTAAACTTGGACCAAATTATAGTATAAAAATTTAGTAAATATTTAATAAATAGATTTTAAATATAACTAGTCCATTTTTATAGTATATTGTGAATATTAAAATTCAGGACCCAATTAAATATAATTGTTAGAATTGAGGGTTAGTCATGTAAAATATTACCTTATTAATTAAGTCTAAAGTACTTAAATAGCAATCTAAAACATTTTAACCTAGCCTTATTAGATTAAGTTATACAATGTAAGATAAGCTTTAGATTGTGGAACGAAATGCTTAAAATAATAATAATAATAATAGTAATAATAATATGGATGAAATAAATTAAGGATGTAAACGAAAATATAAATATAAATACAAGTGTAATAGGTTAAGATAATAAATATAATAACAAGTCAATATATATATAGGTTTATATATACATAAATAATAATAACACCTACACACGCACAAAGGTAGAAATAAAGTGAAAGGTAATAATAACTAATTAATAAATATATATAAGTGGTAATACAATAAAGTAGCGACGACAAGGACGATAATAATAATAGTAATAATTAATTATAAATCATAAATAGGTATAGTAAGATAGCAGTCAAGATAATAAACATGCTTATGAGTAACTATTTTCTTTTAAATTAAGAAACGTTACAAAAAGGAGAACTTTCCAAATTAAGAAATCGCCCAATTTGAGAGAGATACTATTAGGGTCCATTTAATGGTCTAGGTATGAATCTTATGCTTACTTAGGGTTGTATATTTATGCATCTATAGGAAGTAACAACTAATTAGGGAACTCATGCATTTGATAGGTACGGTACAAAGATCTAAGGTAGTCCACTCGAGCAGCTAAACAAAGGTAGGTGGTACTTACCCTTCTGAGATTTCAAATGTGTAAATGAGACTCTCGTTTTCAATCCTATTTGGCTATGTTGGCTCGAAATGTGTTTGATTAAATGCTTTACTTGGATATTTATGAAAGTTGTATTTTACTATACAAAGATGGACCATGTGACTTATTTGAAATGTTTTGATATGTTCTTATATACAAAATGGGCTGAATCTTTTATGAAAGCAAGGAATTCTGTATATGAAATACGAAATGAATTTTGACCAGTAAAGCTCAGAGCGGTCATGGAATAGACGGTAGGGGCTATAGTCCTGTCTAATCGCCATGGTAGTCTGGTGTAGAATCCGGCCGATTGGTAAGATCATGGTAGCCTGGTATAGAGTCCGGCTGATTGACAAGGTCATGGTAGCCTGGTATAGTGACTGGACGATTGACCTAAATATGAATGAGACCAATCGGTAGTCATGAAACTTATTGGTCACCCACCTAGTAAGGGTTTAATCTCTAGGCTGAGTACTCAGTAGCCGGTTATTACATGTACATGTTATGAGCTGGTCTGGAAGAATGATTTATGAGCCGATATGAAATGAATTTATGAACTGATTTGAAATGAGACTTATGAACTGAAATGAATTGATTTATGAGTGGATATGAAGAGATTTGTGACTTGAGACGAAATGAATTATGACATTACGATTTCTTATGTACATCTATCAATAAGATGCTTTTAAATTGCTTGTCATTCTTTACTACTGATTGTTTTAAAAACAACGTTACTTTCAAAATTACGAATGTGAATGATATGGAAACGATTTGAATTGTACTTATATATTTGTGTACCTATAAAATTAAGAGTGCATGGTCCAACAGAGGGGTAAATATTACCTACTGAGCGATGTGTCGCTCAACCCACTTCTTACCATTTTTGCAGATTCGGAAGAGTATGAATTGGTTTACATAGAAGACCCTGAGGATGACTTTTATTAGTTTAGGTGCATAGAAGTTGGCAGGCTAGCTACTTCTAGTGTTATCCTATTTACTTTTGTTTCCGCTGTTTTAATTGGAGAATAAATGTACGAACGTCTTGAGTATTTGTAAACTTCCTTTTATATGTAATTCGAACCGCACTTTATTTGTTTAAATTATTTAGTATTGCCAAGTTTAATTAGTTAATGTAGCCTTGTATTCCTGAGTGGGACTTGGGAGTACGGCGGATGTCATGTGACGGGCACGTACGGGCTCGGGGCGTGACACATACCCAGCCTACTCAATCAGATTGAATTTGAGGGAAAAAAATAGGGTCAGATCAAGCACATAACATCCCATCTATTCCAATTCTGCGTACCCATACAAAAGCTCCAATTAGCTTGCTGGATAAACTAAATCAACCCCAAAAACTAGTGGCAAAACACATCTAATTTAATGTTTTCTAAGTTTGTTGAGTAGGTTTGTCTAATGAGGGAAAGAAGCAGAAAGTATGGTCAATATTTTACACTACCAACGACAACAACCAAAATTTTCCAACCGCTGGTCAATTTTTGTTCAACTCTCCTCCTGCTAAGTCCAAACGTAGTTGGGTTTTGTGCAAAAATGGTTGGGAAGTAGCAAGTCCTTCCCAAGCGGGCCAAGAGGCAGATGATGCAATTAATCTAGGGGATTCATGATGGCAAGGCAAAAATTTTTAACAATTTTTCCCCTAAGTTAAAATTAGGGCAATAAAATTTCTAGGGATGAAAAGATTAATCATGTAAATAACCATAAAATTACACCCTAAATAAAGATTTGACAAGAATGCAGGTAGAAATTTTCAGAAAAAAAAAAGAAACAGGCTTAGGGCCAAAATATTTGCAAATTATTTTAGTGAGAAAGAGGAGAAGGAAAGAACTAACCTTTGCTGCAGACACTTGGAGAATTACTTGGTCTTCATGCTAGAGAGCCATGGTACTTCACTGGTCTTCAATCGTCGGAGAGATTGAGATTGCAGTAGTGAGGTGGAAGTAGAGGTGAGAGTGGGCGTCTGAGTGAAAGTGAGGTAGAGGTGATTTGAAAGAGAGTTCAACACTTAGAAAAGCTTTGTTTTGCTTCTACACAGTAAAAGACAACTAGACGAGTCCACCACTTTTTTTTGCCTTGAAGAAGAAAATTTTCACTAAGTCTTTTGGCCGCCAAAATGAAACTTTGGAGTTTCTGCCAAAATCAAACGCTATCGTTTTGTGTCTTTTTTTTTTTTTTACATCTTACATTTTCTTAAATGTCATGATAGGTAGTCTAAAGGCACATTATTATTTTTATATTAGATAAAATAAAAAAATTTAAAGTATATATTATTGAATTGATAATAAGTGTCATGATAGGATTGCTATAATGACACAAACTAGAAAGTATCCTTATAGGCATGTCAGGAAAAATCATTTTTGTTGTAGTGTAATAAGGAAATCATATGGCTAGTATTGAATTAAAATATGCATTAATATGTGAAATTTATACAAATTTATATAATAATTCATGTTTCAATCTTTTCTTTCTTCCCATCCTACACAAAAAAGGAAAAAAAAAATCTATCTACATGAACATATCGCAAAATTTTTCCTTAAAATATCAAATGGAATAGCCGATTAGTTACAAATATTAATTGTAATAAATGTTTATGTTGAGATATTTTAGAGACAATACATTAAATTCTAAGAAGATAATATGTAACACAAAGCATTTAATAGGAAATTAAATTTTGTAGATCAACTAATTTAATGACAATCTAAAAATATTTAGAGAATTTAATATTTTTCATAAGAAAAAAAAGGTTAGTGAAGGAGGACAACGAAATTTTTCTAAAATTTTTGGTTGGGGAGGAGGGGCCACAGGCAAAAAAATAATCTTCAACGAAAATTATCAAAATCCAAGGGGGTAAAAAGTGAATAGCCAAAATTTTGGAGGCAACTGCCCCTGCAACCATGCATTGAGGTGAGAGAGTTCTGTCGGTCGGCACCCAAAGTCATATATAGTTCGGGTCCAAAACCCTAATTAGGTCCACGACAACGAAACTATTCAACCATGGGACGTTCGCGACCTCACCGTCGCAGAAATGCAGGGAAGTCTGCTGCAAGAGAAAGCAAACCATCCCAATTAGGCGGCTTAGTTCAACTGGCTCAAATCCCAGACCACATAATTTGCAGTAATATCATCCCTAGACTTCCAGGCAAGTCTTTGATAAGATTCAAATGCGTAAGCAAGCTTTGGAATTCGACAATTTTGGATCTGAATTCCACATCTTTCGGTAACATTCGAGGTCCCAAAACAGCTTCTATGTCATTCGAGTACACAAAAAGATCGATAAATCTTTGTTTCCATATGATGGACACCAAAGGCTCGACCGAAAAGTTCTCCCTGGAGAAGCCAATAACGGAGTATTATCATCGTGATGGCCATATTGCAGGTTCATGCAATGGTTTGTTACTTATAATTTTTGACGCCTCTTTTTTCTTGTGGAATCCATGCACAGCATACTTCAGCTGCGTGTTAGAATCGGACAAAATGAAACCTCCCTATTTTGTAACAAATTCCGGGATTTGTTACGATTCATCCACTGACGATTACAAGGTCGTAATAGGGCTGCAAAACAGTAGTATTCGTGCTCGGGAGTTTTCACGCGGACCCGTGTTGGTAGCTGGATTGAGAAACAAAGGTTGGAAAAAGCTAAACTTTCCTTATCGATGTCACCAGGGAACAAGTGGAGTTTCATTCAATGGTTTTCTACACTGGAGAGCTAATACCAATAAGGGTTATTGTACCAACCCTGCACCTAATAAGATCATTGTTTTTGATCGAGAAACTGATCAAGTAAGGGAGCTTCCTATGCTGCAGGACAGAAGTCGCCACATACTTGGTTTGGGGGTTTTGGACGACTGCTTCTGTATGTCTTGTTGGGACATTAACCAAGTAGAAGTGATTGCAATAAAAGAATATGGTAATGAAGAATCTTGGACTCCTTTGTTTGAGATATCAATTCTGAAATTCTATAGCATCTCTTATGGCACAAAGTTGACACCATTGATGCTCATGGAAAATGGTGAAGTCATGATGCTACGGGATGATGAAACTATTTTTAGTTATAACCCTCAAACGATGGAATACAATTATGAGTACCCCAAAGTGCTTGGCAGATGTCCTCATATATTCATCGAAAGTTTAAATAACCCTCATGCCTAGCTCGGAGTGGGATGAGAACCAACATCAAGGACAAGGATTTCTTATTCTGACGGAATATTCACTAAGTTGAAAAGGTTTCATATGATTAGAATTTGAAGCTCGCAGGTGAGAAAGTTGTCTGCTTTTTTTCTTGTTGCAATTTTTGTCGCTTAATTCCTGTTGGTTCATCCAGTATTATATTACTTGATGCAATTTTTCTTGTTGCAATTTTTGTCGCTTAATTCCTGTTGGTTCATCCATATTTATAAAAGTTAGTCCATATATACTTGTTATATTGTTGGCGAAGTTGAAATTGGAATGTAATTGTGGATGGCACTCCAAAACTTCTGCCCTCCTGTGTTCTGTCTAAACTTTGTTCCTCAATAGTCAATACAATGTGAAATGGTTGCCCCAAAAACAGATGTTTCGCATTTCATATATAAGGTCCAACTTAAGAAATATTAATCTTTTTTATTTGTTTCTATACTATCAGTAAAGAGGTAGTTCATATTTACCATTCATTTCTTTAATTTTTTATGAAATAATTTTTTGCTTTTGCAACGATATTCTATTTCTATGCTGCGAATAGTTTTTTCCCAATGCTTATTTTTGAATTGTTATTATCTTAATTTTATAGTATTTACATAAATTATAATGGCACTGTTCACCCCCGAATTACCTAATTTTTAGTGTAGTTTATTTAAACTTTTGTATTTTTTTTAATTATGTAACGCCCCTTAAATTACGAAGCCGTCTTTTATTCTGTACCCTAAGACACAAAATAGAAGAATCCTACTAAATGCATTAATTGATGTGGCTATGTACATATATATGCAGGTTTGCACGTGGTATATATATATTGGGCTTGCACTTCGGTCTTATTCTCTTTTGCTTTAAATTTTTCAAAATTTAATTATGAAAAGTGATTATAAAGAATAATTAAAATCAGCAAAAATTTATGTTTGGTTGATCATGGATATTAACTTTTTTTTAAAAAAAATCTATAATTTGAATATAAAATCAAAATAGAATATCACAAATAAACTGATTATCCAAAATCAAAATCTATAATCAAATAAATTAATCAACCGAAAGCCTTTCATGTCGTTTGTGTAAGTTGCTTGTCTTGTTCCTCTCTTGAAGTTTTAATAAAACTAGTGACCTTCCTTGAACCATCCGAAAATATCACTACCTCTCTTTAATTCTTAATTTTCTGACATTCAGCCCATTTCAAAAAATAATAAAATAAATAAATGTCAGAAGGAAGAACAAGATCACTATGAATAACAAATTCAAACCATTTTGCATAAGATAAGAAATTCAAACCATTTTGAATAACTATGAATAACAAATTCAACCCATGTTAAGGAAGTTTTTCTGAAAACACTTCATGGAAAGCAGTCATCCAAATGGGCCACAAGATACCTAAAAACAATATGAACAACTACTTATAAATAGCAGTGAAATAGTAACTCTTCTAACCAGTAATGTCTTTCATGGTCTCTTTGACTGATGGCCCATTACTTGTAGCATTCAAAAGTTCAGGAACCTGATGAAAGTGAACAAAGATGAACTAAAATTTGCTGTGAAAAGAAATTCCATCTATTAAGTTAGGCCCAATTTATTGTGATTTGGACAAAGATGTTTTAACCAATATTATGTGTATGCAATGATACCAAAAAAGAAAAGAAAGCAAATCCATTATGAGTGCATTGTTGGTCTAATAGTAACATATTTTTACTTGTAACTAAACAAAAAGTAGTCATAATGTTTCTAACACTAAAATAATTAAAAAAAAGTTTAGAACTCCACCAAAACCTGTCACAATCTTCAACATCAATAAAAACATGCAAACTTGCATATTTTTCTTTCTTTTTTGAGAGAAAAAGTGAGTTAATCCATCCATTTAAATCATGCATAATTGCTTTACAGACAAATGAGAACATTATCTCACCAAACAATTCTAAAATACAAATAGCAGCTTTAAATTAAAAACATGAATTGCCATGTTTCTAGATCTACATATGCAAATTCGAATCCAACAATTTGTTTGATTGCAAAAATGTCTTTTTAATCAAAATAGAATTTTCCAATAATATTTTGTAAAGTGACACTCTAAGTTAAAAACCTCAATGCTAACTTCCACCACCATATGCATTCCTTTGACAACTGCAATCATTTTAGCTAGTCAAATTGACAACATATTACCAATTCCTTTAGCCAAATAGTAATGATACGTCAAGTTTCACACCTAAAAACCACCTCAAACTGTAATTACATTATCTATCATTATGGATAATAAAAAAGGATAAGAGTACAAAGTCATATAGAACTAGTTTTAGTAAAAGATTCTGAAAGCTAATTTTACACTTCTTTTATTCTCAGGCTATCATTTGCTAAAATTAAAACCATGAAAATAAACTACGTATCATGGATACAAACTAGTAATTCAAAATGTTGAATGAAGAGATACAAAATATTATCTTCACATTCTAAATTGCTTGCCCCAACAATTATTTTACACATCATCCACCTTATCCAATAGATAAGAACTTTTCACCATTCCTAAACTTTATATAAATCAAAATATCAAAATATAATTACCTATTCATAAATTAAGAGACTCTGATTAATTTTTAATTCGATAAGCATCATTATTTTCTTCCTGATCATCGTTTACCTTGGGCCTTCATTTGTCAAATTCTTTCTCCTCCACTCTAGCACTATTAATATCACCCTATTATCAAATAACAATTTTAATAAATAAAAAATTAATACTAGAATGAATATGTATAATGGTGTTATTTATTTTATGGGGGAAAAGTAGTTACAATTCTTTCATTATTAGCCTAAAAATTCTTCATGTAATCACCACCGTTCTTCTTGTCAACCTTAGGGAATTTTGTTCCAAAAATAAAAAAAAGGCCAAAAAGTAGTTTTAGAATAAATAAAATTTAAAAAACTGAAAAAAAAAAAGATTTCTTTAGATTTGGGGGAAAAATATTCACAACATCACATACCTCTTTTAGGCGGAAAAGAAAGTCAGATGAAGAAGGAAGCGGCAAGAAAAGCAATAAGCAAAGGTTTCTAATCAGAACACAAAATATGACAAAAAAAGTATTAAATAGTAGATGCCAAAGAGAGACAGTAAAAGTAGAAGATCATAAATCATGATTATTGGACTATGGAAGAAAGGAAATATCATACCCATTCTTGATCTCCGATAATGAAACCATTCAATCAGTTAATTATGGACAAAAATGAAAGAAAATGCATCAACTAATCCAATAGAGAAAAAAATAGAATAAATGATTAGGATGAAGAAAAAAAGAAAAGGAGTACAGAGTGAAAACTAAATAAGAAATTTGCAGTGTATATGAGGGTTTGTTTAATTGTCTTTAACCAAAAAGAAGAAAGGAAATAAGGTGAACAAAAAAAAAAAAAAAGGGAATGCGCCACATGTCAAAATAAGGGGATCCACTTGACAATCATTGAGGTTGCTATAGTAACTCTACTTTTTTCTTATATAATAGGTAGATTTATATATATATATATATATATATATATATATATACATACATATAATTGTTACAGTATATTTTTTTACAAAAACTTCTAAAAATAGCAATCAAAACTGGGATAAGTATGGTTCCAACCCTTGCAAGGATTCTTTCGTTTTCTAGCTAGAGACAACAACAGCGTCTAATGCACATATGCAAGGACAAAGATAGAGATAGTTAATAGCACCAATTTCGTGTCCACTCGTTTTATTAATTTTTCTCCCAACAAACTGTTACAAGTCTTTAACTAACGTGTATTCTGGGATTTTCGACTAGGATGACCAAGACTCAGCAAAGTGCAGCCAAAACAGAATGCTTTCTTTCCACATAATTGGAACATTATCTTTAACAACAACAATATGTTGAAGGGAAAATGTCATTGAGTCTACACAGAATTAGTAAAAGAGAAAACAGAAAAGATAAACTTTGTCATCACAAAATGAGTTAAAAATAAAGCTAGAGAGTTGTGGGCACTTGTTTAAACTACAAATGAATTGCTATGTATACTCTAATTTTGGAAATAGCTCTATCTCAGATCTTGAATGGGGAGTATAGACAAAATTATATTCTTTTATACGTTCTAGGAGATTACCACAAAAAGAATGGCTAAACAATTGTACTTCCTTCAGATAATTGTACAAAATGAAGCAGAACCAAGTCTTAACAGAACTATTCTATACTAAAATGAAATACTTTATCCAGGAGTATGCATAGTTAAATCATCTAAAGAGTATTGTTTTATTTATTTATTTTTTTGTGGAAATCTAAAGAGTATTGTTCAAAACGATGAACTTTGAAAGTTATGAAAAGTGGACCAACCATAGCCGAATTCAAATCCAGATGGTCTATTTTATCCAGCTATGATAAACCACAGCCCTATGATTAATGAAAATGCAAAGGGTTGAACTTTTCACAAGTTGGAAAAAATAGTTTAAGCATACACATTAGTCCGCCTTATCAACCTGTTTCAGTATCTAATCGATATTTCTACACATAAGACGCATGATAAAGTCATGTCATAACAATTTCATTGCTTACTTTTTTACCAAAAAAAAAAAAGACTCCATGATCTCATTCCTTCCACTTCCTATACGCGGTTTAATTCCATTGCCTTCACTAATAATTGAAAAGACCTTAGCCTTGGACAGTTAACAAACTGCCTCACGCTATTATGGCCTTATTTCTGTAACAAAGGTCCATGGGGGTGTCAATTATATATCGAACCATAAAAAGGTGGAATCTCCATTGCCAATCACCGACACAATATAATCCGGTGTTTATTGTTGAATACTAATTCTTTTATTCCAAATGGAATGCCATATGGAATTGCAGTTAATATGAAATTGAATGCACTGATAAGTAACAAATAGTGAAACTGTTTTGGCGTCAATATAAACAATCACGACTCTTTTCTTATTCTTTATGCCCTTGTGATTGCTATCCATTTTAGTTCTAGCTAGG